GCCTGACTATTTAGCAATAGTAAAAAATTCGATAGAACAAGTGGTCAAAATTCGTATTCTTACAAACTCTTTTATTACACTGACAGGGTTTTCTAGTACAGTATAGAACAATTTAAAAATGATTATACTAACAAATTCTACATTTCAATTGTTGCATGCAAGAATTATCTTCATCGTCACTTATTTGTATAACATTTTCCATTTCCTCACTATTATTTTGTACTTTAAAGTTTCCATCACTTTGCATCACAGCATTTTCCTTCGACAATATGTTGTCCAATTCAGTTACCTGTAAAAATATGCTAAGATTATAATGTTTATATGAAGTCCATTGAAATTTCATTACTTAGAATATATACAGAAATAGAATTGCCTCCAATCACGAAGGAAGCTAAACTGACTGTGCTTTATTCACAGGTAGACTAATGAACTCTTCTATAGCCCCAAAAAAATAAAACAATTTCTTTTATATATTAGCAACAGTGCTACATTTAAAATTGTTCGGTAAGTTAAAATATATTGTTTATATCTTTTTTAACAAACCTGAGTAGACATGGCATCTTCATTACTATCAAGTTGTAGAGTCTGATAAACGGCAACTGAACTTTTAGGTATTTTTTCTAAAACAACATTCTGCTGATTAATTTTTTCATCTGGTACTCCCTTGGTTGTAGCAATTTCTTCTACTACTGCAGTCAGATCTCGTGATAAGGTTATTCTTTTATCTTCTGTATTAATGGTGTTTATATTTAAATTTTCTTTTAAAAACTCTTGATAGTTTTCTTCAAATCTTTTTATTTTGAGAAACTCACATTTCTAAAACAAATTAACTTATGTAAACAAACTATTTTATTGCTTTAGTTATAAATATTTGGAAGTTACTTACTATTGAAGAATTGGTCTCAAAACTTGTGTAGACAGAGGAACATTTTTCAGCACAATAAACCCGTTTGTGTGAAATAAAATTTGCCAGGCTTCTAAATAAGTTTGTGCAAACCTTGCATTCATAAATCATATTACATTCATTAGATAAAATTTCTCTCACCTGGAATGAATAAAATACCTAATATTTTTAAAGGTAACAGAAAATTTTATAATTTTAAAAATTTAACCTACCTCTTCTGTAGCTAAATCAAAAACTTTCCTTGCCTGGGCAAAACCAGTTACACTTGTAGTTAATGGCCTTCTCAGTAAACTGTAATCTATATCTTCAGCATCTTCACTATTTTGAACTGCATTTTTGTTAGTCCTATTTTTAATTTCTTTGCTTTTGGGCTTGGTACTTCCTTTATCTCCAGCCATGCTAACATCTACAATATAATTTTATAACTTAGTTATTTAAATGTAACTAACGAAACGCAAAATAATGCACACAATCGAATCTAATTCAATAATTAGTAGTTCAGTTAAATGAACGCGAACGTGAAGCATGTCCGACGAGCCTATATTATAACTTAAGTACATACCTACACGACGAAGCATGATAGCAATTTGTTACCTAACATTTAAAATTAAAATAAAATCACTTAAACTTATATACAAAAATTACTGAATTAATAAAAAGGGACATTTGAAAGTATAAATTTAGCACATGCATGGTATTAAGCTAAAATCTTACCACTGATCTATGTTTAAGTCTGTCAGTCTCTCCCTCAATTTTTATGAAAAATCTAAAGATTTTACTACTACTATAGTGCTAATATAAAACTTTGAGTTACGTAGAATCCTAAGATGTTAGTATAACAACGCTACCCACAATCTATTCTATGAAATCACAAACTGAAATCGTCAAATCTTCGACCACTGCGCCCCCATCACACCTCCATATTTTTTAACAAATGAGTAGGTATGAATAGTAGTAGCCTTCAATGTGCTGAGTTTACCAACCAGTCACAAAACAGTTATAATATAAGTTTTACACCTTTGCTATACTCTGTTATAAAAGTCGGATTTATTATCTATTTTGAAAGCGTAATAAAGAAATTAATTTAAAAATATGTATCATTAGTAATTATTCCGAATGGATTTAGTGACTATAATTGACAGGATTCATTATTTAGATGAGATAGCCAAATAATTAAAAGAAAAATGCGTATATGTTAAAAAAAGAAAAAACTAAATTAAAAAAGGTAGTCTGTGGCATACTTGTGAAATAATAGAAAATATCCTCTTTGGTGATGTGAGGATGTGTATAGGTCGGTTTTCGAAAGCTGGCGCGTTCACAGTACTCACACTAATGCAATTTCACTATACAGTATGTTTAAAAATATGACTTTTTTGCCAAGCTATATATGTATATATGTCTACTCTGCTTTTAGTAAGGTTGGGTGGGTTGTAAATAAATAAAAATGTGTCAAATACATATAAATATTACGTGCATACGAGGGTGGATCCAAAAGTTCTAAGCCCGACCAAGATCGTAAAAGAGTAGTTTGTGTAAATAATTTTTCATTTTTCGACATAAGCTCGATCTAGCTCAACACACTTCACTTTTACTTCACTAACAATTATTTCAATACTCTTCTTAGAAACACCTGTCGCATCTGATGTCAAATTAAAAATTAAATTTTTTCATTAAACTGTTTTTATTAAAATGCTTAAAATAATTAAAAAACATTGTACACCATTTCACGAGATTGTCCTGTAAATGTTTAGACGGAATATATTTCATAAGATATTTTTTTCAAAGTATTCTAACCTCCAACCAAATAGGTAAACAATCACAGACAAAATAATAATGAGAAAAAAGGTCAACATGTACAGTAAAGATCAACATAAACAGTAGCAAAAGCAAAACAATAACTGTCTCTTTTATACTCATAAGCTTGACCGAGCGCGAGAGAGACGGACAGTCTTTTCATGATGCATATTCAGTGTGACATCACGCCTCGCGCTTAAACAGACACTACACAAGCACAAAGTGTAAATGTGTTGAAGCCACCAGCTTTAGATAACATACCAATAAGGCAAGGCTAATATACATATAAGATGCATTCTCGCTCTCATGATGTCTCAACTTGTATTGTACTGTGTACAGCTGGCAATAAAATAATATGCTTGCAAAAGTGACCAAACTTAAAACTGCAGGACAAAGCATCATCATTTCTGATCTACTTGTCGTCACTGTGTTTTGACGGAATTTCTTTTTTGGATTATGTTTTATCAACCTTAACAAGTCATACGCTCAAATGCAAATAAAGTGATAAATACGATACCACCCGTAAAAACATAATTATTGCTGTTTCGTGCAGTACTCGGAATTTACTGTCTTAAGGTGCATCTAATAAATATCACTCCTGCTTAATAAATATCACTCCTTTACAATTATTTCCTCTAGACTGGAGCTGTCTAGAAGTGAGATAGTTGATAACCATTAAAATCTGATGGAAAGTAAATAAGACTCAATAACTTGGATACAAAAAATACATTTTTATTTTAGCTTTATTATATAAGATATGTCCTAAATAAGGTTGAGATATTCAAGATGCTTGTAGAAAATCTTTCTTATAGTTCTATACAATATTTATTTAGGAAATAGCAATGACACATGTACATCTCACATACATTTTTTAACACGTAGCTTAACATATTTGTGTTTGAGCTTGAATAACATAGTATAAAGAAAGAGCTTTGGAAGAATAAAGATTTTAACCAACTTATATTTCTTATTATAACAAATTGTGGAAACTAAAAACGCAAATAAGGTATTCCGAAAATAAATTGTATGTATTTTAATACTGTCTGCAATCTGACAATATACATATATTAATATACATATTATAGTAATCTGTGCTTGAAAGGATCCATAGATAAACTTCCTCCAACAATCAATTTTGATTAAACACATTGTGCGTTTTCCAATTACAGCACTAGAGCTCATTATGCGGAAATGCTCAACGTTGAATGTTCCAACTAACAACGCTTCCACAATTGAGACTCTCAAAAGTAATGCTCTCCGTGCTTCTCCAATCAATACCAACACAGTGACAGAAAATTGACCAGTGTTTTTCTTTAAGTTGGCATTGATCGAAATTTTCTTAGTAATTAGTAAATTATTTTTGTTGAAAAATTTGTAAGGCTTTCGTTTCGTCGTAGATTTTGAAAATAATTAAAGTTATTTCAAACTGCTAAAAAAATAAATATAAGTATGGATGAAGGTATAAATAGTTACTTTTTTATATTCTACATTTAAAAATGAATACAATTTCATTTAAAATTCGGATCTGTAAACAAATTTATTTATAGGATTATACTTTTGTAAACATTGCAATGGTTTTGAAAAAGTTAATTTTTAGAAATCATTTAAAAAAATTACCAAAACTAAATGATGTAAACTTCTTACATGAAACTAAATATTTTACTGTTAATTTAGCTTGCTAAAACCTTATATTCTTTAAAGGTTTTCTCTTATTTCAGTAAAAAAATTCAAATTACTTAAAATAAGCGTAAAAAGTTTTCAACCAATTATTATTGTTTACCACATTATTTATACATTAATCAGGTTGCTAACTCTATTCAGAACATTTTTTTTTTCAACACTGACTTAGCCACTCTCTGATGCATTTGAAAACTAATTCACGTTCCAATTAAGCTTCAGCATATGGCACTGAGTCGCATTATGCTCAGTAATTGGAAAACCAATACGACTGGCTAATGACAAACCGTCAGAGCCATAAAGGAAAAAAAAAGATTAAACACATTAAATGATTGAAGTTTAAACTTTAATAGAAATTAGAAACCCACAAGTCACAACAGTTACTGTGGTGTTTGGTTTAAATTAACTAACAATTTATTATTTAGTGAATTTTGAAAACCTAATCGTTGGACATTAGGTATTTTTTATTGATCAGTTAAGATATTTGTCACTTACAATTTTTTTATTGAAGATATAGGTATATATTTCACTTTAATGAAGATTTATCGTATTATTAATATTAATTAAATATTCCATCACACAGAGTTAGCTAAATAAAATTGTAAATCATATTCTTACTGTAAAAATGGCTTCTGGTGAAATAGAAAATTCAGACTATCAGCAGAAACGATGGCACAATATTAGAAAACTGTTAGAGAGGTCAGGTCCATTTTGTCACCCAGATTTTGAGCCTTCAGCCGAGATACTAGACTTCATTATGAACTCCTGTAAAGTTCTTATAGTCGGTGCTGGTGGTCTAGGGTGTGAATTACTGAAAGATTTGGCTTTAATGGGGTTCAAGAAACTCCATGTTGTTGATATGGATACCATAGAATTATCAAATTTAAATCGGCAGTTTTTGTTTCGTAAAAATGATATTGGATTATCTAAGGCTAAGTGTGCAGTGGAATTTGTTAACAAAAGGTACCATGGTAACTTTTTTCTTTATTTATTTGTGTATTTTATATTAAAGGCTTCCTTTTCTACTTTTTATTTCAGAATTCCTGGCTGTGAAGCTGTCGCTCATCATTGTCCCATTCAAGACTTGGATGATGGTTTTTATCGTCAGTTTCACATAGTAGTCTGTGGTCTTGATTCCATTGTTGCTCGACGTTGGTTAAATGGAATGTTAATGTCCTTGCTGCAGTATAATGATGACAGTAATTATATCATTTTGTTTTGTTTTTATTTATAGGCTATCACATTCTTACAAAAGTTACAAGATAATTTTCACTAACATATTCTCATTCTCTATCTTTTCTTATCATCTTTACTATGAATGAATCTTTTTATTTTTAGGAAGTTTAGATCAAAGTAGTGTTATACCACTTGTTGATGGAGGGACAGAGGGTTTTAAAGGCAATGCTAGGGTAATTCTACCTGGTATGAGTGCATGTATAGAGTGCACCCTAGACCTTTACCCACCACAGAAAACATTTCCTTTATGCACTATTGCTAATACTCCAAGGTAAATATTAAGTTACATCTTTAATCCTCATCTATTATCGGTAAGAAACTAAAATATTCTAGCTTAAATTGCTTTTAAACATCAAACAAAAACATTTGTGATGCTGGATTATATGACATTAATATTTGTATTTTAATTTTTATAAATGTCTGTGTCCATTAACTAAATATAAGATATGATAGGTATTTAAATTTCCTGTTAATTAGAAAATAATTGTGTTATTCTAGATTACCCGAACATTGTGTTGAATATGTAAAGGTTCTACAATGGTGTAAAGAAAATCCATGGGGTCCAAACACAGGGTTAGATGGTGATGATCCACAACATGTGGCATGGGTGCATGAAAAGGCTCAAGAGAGGGCTATGAAGTATGGCATTGCCAATGTAACATATAGACTAACTCAAGGAGTACTGAAGAATATCATTCCAGCTGTTGCTAGTACAAATGCAGCAATTGCTGCAGCTTGTGCTACCGAGGTGATCATTCTTATTTGTATAGGTGACAGATACTTCAGTCTGAATGGATGGTAACCAAAAGTAGTCCATATTTTTTGTAATATTCCTAAACAGGAAGGTAAAATTCTGTGCTAAGTATATAAAAATTTCTACAGGTGTTTAAGTTGGCTTCATCATGCTGTGCCAACATGAATAATTACATGGTTCTAAATATGTCTGATGGAGTGTACAGTTATACATTTAGTGCAGAAAAAAGGGTTGACTGTGTTGCCTGTAGTAACACAACTAGAGTCTTGGAGATAGAACCAAATGCTACGTTACAAGTCATTTATGATAAATTGTGTGAAGATAATGGATATTTAATGAAAAGTCCAGGTTGGTTTTTTACCAACATCTCAATCACTCCCATTATTAATAACAAAATATTATTTTTGTTATTATTTGAGTTATTGAGATGAGAGAATTTTCTTTTAAAAATTGGTTGGATGTTTTAATCAGTTAACTGTTTTAATTTAAAATATGTATTACTTTTAGGTATAACAACAGTGATAAATGGACGTAATAAAACATTATACATGGCATCTATAAAGAGTATTGAAGAAAAAACTAAAGACAACTTAAAGAGAAGGATCACAGAATTAGGTCTTTATAATGGTGCAGACCTGTTGGTGGCTGATGTGACAACTCCAAACACAATAACAATAAAGCTAAAGTTTTCTGATAGTATAGATGTTGACATGTCCCGATAATTATAAATATTTATGGTAACTTTTGTTCTATTATTAAATATCTTGTTACCCACATTTAATATTTTTATAAACTTTCTTACACAGACCAGCCATATTGGGGTAATGCAATTAACGTTTCCTGTTAAAAAACATTTAAATGATACATACTTGTATTATATAGTAGTATATGTTCCATAAATATGTCGCGAATACAGAAACCGTGAGTACGGAATGGTAATTTATATGGGATTATAGGGGCATTGTTCCTAGGTGACAAAATAATAATATAACGAGTGTGTACTTATGTACACGCGTTAGAAGTTATACTTCTTTGGCGGAACAAGATAAAAAAAAAATCATCTTTCGCCTTATTGCACGTTTGTAGAAAAAACGACACTAACAATAGAAATCATTTTTCCCTAACGCTCTCAAATTCAAAATTCAAAAATCATTTCAAATTCAAAGAAAAGTATATCTTCAAAAAAAACTAAAATGTTGACTATAGCTAACTTAAGGGTGTCGTTTTTCATGTGACGGTGCGCGCGCGCGTCGTAAAAATTTACTCTCATCATTTTTCCCTAACGCGCCAAAAGAAGTTAAAAAACAAATATATAAAAAAATCAATTTAAATGAAGTTTTTGACCATCTTGATTAATTTTTATCTTCAGGCTTAGACAATGTTTTAAAAGAATTTTGTAATTTTTTTCTTGCTTTGCAGTTTTTAAAAGCTCCTTTAGGCCGGCTCCACACGTTGGCCCCAATATTGGCCCCAACGCTATTCGTCCAACGTGTGGATCTAGAAAATGGCATTGGTCCCAACGTTGGGGCGAGTGTTGGTAGTTGGCCGGCTCGTGTCGGTTTCATCAAAGGAATCTGCGCCAACGCTCGCGATCTGTCCACACGTTGGCGGCTGGCGCTTTGCTTAGTTCTGTTACAGCACGCAGCGAGTGCGTACGTCGAGCGAGAATGGCTTCCTCATCCACAAAATTGCCACCGGCATATACAAATGAAAAAGTAATAGAATTTATTGAACTTTATCAAGCACATCCAATAATATGGGACCAACTCGAAAGGATCATAAAAATAAAAATTTAATAGCTGATGCATGGCGCACCATTCAACAAAATATGGGAATGAATTTCTCAATTGAAGATTTAAAAAAAGCGAGAATCGTTAATAAGCACATATCGCCTTTACAGAAAGAAAATTAGTGACTCTACTCGATCTGGATCATCAACAGACAACGTTCGATTTCTGTATCGGACATCTTCACATTGGCCCTGACGGGACAGAACTAGTTTATTAGCCAACGTGTGTACGCCTCACCGAGTTTGCAGTCAACGTTGGTACGATCGTTGGGACCCACATGTGGAGCCGGCGTTAATTTAGACTGATATTCTAGCAGTGGCATTAGCAATTTGCGCGAAAGATCGCGGCGAAGGCGGCTTGTCAAAGTCCGAACCAATACAGAGGTGATATCATTTAACAACATACTTTAGGCATAGTTGTAATAAGGGCTATTTTACTATTCTATATAGTCCATTGGACGGCATTACAAAGGATAATAGGTTGGGTACCTATTGGAATATTTTTTATTATTATGTATAGGTATGTCGCAGTAAAGTAGTTAAATCCGAAAGTTATTGAATCTATAGACAGTTAATTAAATATCGATATTCAATTAAGTCGCAGCATTTTGATTGGAATAAAGCAGCGTCGAAAACGTTTAACTATCTGTCTTACCGAAAGCCAGCGTGTTGATTAATAATGTAAACAGATGGCGATCACGACAACTTTAAAGGTGCGTATCCATTTGAGGCAGACTCGGGGCGAGGCAGCCGCTCGATCCGAGGCCGCACAAGTGGAGACGCTGCCTCAACTTGAGGCACGCCGCGCCACGAGCCGAGCCATATTTTGTCGGTTTTTTTGGCGTGCTCAAAGAAGCCTTAATCCGAGCCGTGCACTTGGTGGAGACGGGCGTGTCGCCTCAGGTCGCAATGGACAACGAAACTGCAGTTAAATTTATAAAATTATACGAGTTCCATCGTGTTCAAAGATGTAATCATTGATAGTAGCAACTTAAAGTCACCAGTGCTCATGCGTGTAAAATTTTTAAATCTATCACCATCTTCAAACGTTATGTCCAATAGCAATTGGTCACATCCATGCTGAATTCTATTGCGATATAACTCTTTTATCCACCATCGATGCTTCCTCTTTTGTATAGTTTTTTGTTGTATTCTCTTTTTTTTTAATAATGTTAATGGCTATTAAAGCAGCGGCTACTCTACGCGCGTCTGGTGTCATCGCGTTCTTACTTTACATTAGTTTCGGATCAAGGTGAGGCATGTCGCCTCGCCTCATGCGCAATGTGCCTCGAGCCTATGCCTCGGAGTGAGCAGCCTCGGTTTGCTTCAAGTCGAGGCTGCTCGGCCTGAGGCTGCTCTAATGGATACGCACCTTTAAAGTTGTCGTGATCGCCATCTGTTTACATTATTAATCAACACGCTGGCTTTCGGTAAGACAGATAGTTAAACGTTTTCGACGCTGCTTTATTCCAATCAAAATGCTAGCGACTTAATTGAATATCGATATTTAATTAACTGTCTATAGATTCAATAACTTTCGGATTTAACTACTTTACTGCGACATACCTATACATAATAATAAAAAATATTCCAATAGGTACCCAACCTATTATCCTTTGTAATGCCGTCCAATGGACTATATAGAGATAAAGTAAAGATATTAGAGTCTCTTTTGCGTAGATAGAGTATAGATCTAGATGAGCTTCTAAAATGACAATAATAAATAAAGAGAGAAGGCATTATTAACGTGAAATACTTAAGTGCGAGCGAAACAGAGTGTCAGTTTTTCTGTCTCTATTTGCGTATCGGGTTTTATTTGTATGCCATCGACCTTGGTGGCAAACAAGTTTTCACCGCTTACTGATAAATCTGTGAAACCCAAGTCAAACCCATATTTTAAGACTTTATCCTTATACGAGGTGTATTTAAAGTGTTAGTCATGGTGAATTTTTGCATAATCTGCTGTAAAAGCCGTAGTGAACGTAAATAACCAAACATAACCTGTCATCGGTAAGAAGCTTATTTTGTCACGACTCAGTAACTTTGTTCAAGAATTATTCATTCGAATGTATATTTTGGTCAATAATAAGCAATCTTCAATGAATTAAAACTACTTTACTGCGACATATATACTGATTAAATCCGCGAATAAAGAAATCTTTAGCCGCGAGTATAGGAATTGGATTACATTTTTAGTCCGCAAATAGTGAAAATGCGAATGAAGGACGCGCGAATAATCAGCTTTTACTAGGTATATTATATTGTACCAGTGGGAATTTATAAATGTTATATAGGTATGAAATAAACCTTGGATGTTTGTTCACCCAAAGTTCAATATTTCACTGTTGTAAATTCTACGCCAAGATATGCGAAATTGTATTAAATAAAATAAGATAGTTCATATATATATTAATAAAATTATTAAATATATTATGGGTATTAACTATGATTTCCCATAATATATTATTAACTATGATTTATAACGATGCCTTAATAAAGAATACAATTATTTAAAAATAAAATATAATCAAAATCAAATAAAAATACGTTTATTCAATTTAGATTTCTAGACATGCTTATGAATGTCAACAACGTTTACAAAATTCACGAAAGACAGACTGCATCCGTTCCAAAAACCAGGAGGCCGTTCTGAGAAACGGGAATCGCAAGTTGCCCTCCTTACATACAATATTCAAAGGAAAATTCATAAACCAGCTTAAAATTACATAAGTAAAAAAAAAAAAATCTTTCTGTGATTTACCACATTCACCATTACACACATATTCATAACACTTCAAATACATATATATAAGTTAATATACATATTATATAAGTTATTCTATCATTTAGTGGCAAGCCTACATAGAAGTAGTACCGTACTAATATAAACACAGATCAAGTAGAGAATTTATTACAATTTATATGGCAACTAGCATTTAAAATTTGACATTTTAAAAGAATGACGTATAGGAAGGAGCTCTGACGTGGTTTACGCTGTACGCTGCTTCTTGTCAAATAGCTTTCGAAAGCTAATTTTTTATTATTTTTAAAACAACCAATATCTTAAATAAGTTATCCATATTAACGTTCATCAATCATACATAAACATGTTGGACAGTTTATTTGACGATGTGAAACGCATGAATAAACGCCAGGTATTGTGTATTCATCAAAACTTACCGTCAGATGACGTGAGCTAGGTACCGGTTAATACAGTTTTTTTTTGTATTTTTCAGTTTATTTATCAAGTACTTAGTTTTGGCATGATAGTTTCGTCAGCGCTAATGATATGGAAAGGTCTAATGGTTGTTACGGGCAGTGAAAGCCCTATTGTGGTTGTGCTGTCTGGAAGCATGGAGCCTGCATTTCACAGAGGAGATTTATTGTTCCTTACTAATTATCCAGAAGAACCAGTTCGAGTTGGTGAAATTGTAGTGTTCAAGGTGGAAGGGCGTGACATTCCTATTGTACATAGAGTGTTAAAATTGCACGAGAAGTAAGATTTTACATGCTGTAGATATACGTTTGAACTATCTAAAATCAATCTATAAATAGTATTATAATTTAAAATATTTAGTATGTGCATTGTGCACCTAAGGCAAACAAGCTAGCCTTAGCTTGTTTGTTTTTGTTTTTAACAACAACAATATGGGAATATGTAATACATTCATAGAAAGATTAATACTGTACAATAAACTTGATATTTAATTTACAAATTTGAATAGAATGCAACCTGCATTTGTGAACATAATAGGGAAAAATGTTTATATACACAATACATAATTTCTTAAACTCTAAGCTGTTATTTCAATAAATGTTCTCAATTGGTTAATTTTTTTATATTCTTATAGGTGTTTAGAAAAGGTTTTTGATTTGTAATAGTATTGGTTTTTCATTTGATTCTTGTTTCAGAAATAATGGCACAGTTAAGTTTCTGACTAAAGGAGATAACAATAGTGTGGATGATAGAGGGTTATACGCTCAGGGTCAGTTATGGTTGACAAAGAAAGATGTTGTTGGTAGAGCTAGAGGATTTCTACCTTATGTTGGAATGGTCACAATATATATGAATGAGTATCCTAAGTTTAAGGTGTGTATATTTTTATAAAATTATTTTGTATTAAAAAAAAAAGCATTAGTTCAATAAGTTCATTTAAGTAAAACTAAATAAACATAGAATTCACCACTCTTGCCTCTTGTCCTCTGTAGTCAATGATTCATCTTCATTGATTTTATACATGTACTGTCTACTGGATCTAGCTTCGAGTCAAGATAAGTTAAATAAATAGATAAATTATTTATCAGCAAACAAATCTAAAAGAAATGTGTGTATATATAACTTCCATGTTGATAGATGAGATATTACTTACTTAGATTAAATTATATACCATTACTAATGGTATAATGTACATACACTGGTCAACAGGAGCAGTGTTGGCCTAGTGGCTTCAGCGTGCGACAGTCATCCCTGAGGTCGTATGTTTAATTCCCGGCTGTGCACCAATAGACTTTCTTCCTATGTGCGCATTTAACATTCGCTCGAACGGTGAAGGAAAACATCGTGAGGAAACTGACATGTCTTAGACCCAAAAACTCGACGGCGTGTGTCAGGCACTGGAGGCTGATCACCAACTGGCCTATTTGATTGAAAAACGATCATGAAACAGATTCAGAAATCTGAGGCCTAGACCTAAAGAGGTTAAAGCGCCGCTGATTTTTTTGAAGTTATACTTCTTTAGGCGCGTTATGAAAAATTTATGAGAGTGAAATTTTACGATGCGCGCGCACCGTGACACAAAATTATCAGTATGGGCGCCAGGCGTGCGCGAGCGAGATGGGAATAAGACAATCTACAAGTAAAAAGAAATAGAATATGCGTGACGTTAGCAGCTATGCCAAGAATTTTGAATGACCATAATGACATTTGTAATACCTTTTAAACAAATAAAAGAGTTTAAATTATTTTTTCAAAGAAATTTAGCAATGCTTTTTCACAAACACCTATTGTTACTTAGTTAAAAGGTTATGAAACATACCTAGTTATTAAATTGAATTAATAATATAATAAATAATAATTATTATTAATATTAATTAATAATTGAATAATATACTAAATATTAAATATTGTTAAATTATTAACGCTAAATATTTATTATTAATTATTTAATATTAAAAACAAAATAAAGAAAGCCAAAGAAGTATAACTTCTTACGCGCGTACATAAGTACACGCACCATTTTTTTTTTATAGTGAATATTATGTTGATTTTCATACAAGTTTGTTTTGTTTCAGTTTGCAGTGCTAGCTTGCCTAGCAGTGTATGTTCTTGTGCACAGAGAGTGACAACATTTAAAAATAAGTGAGAAGTGGAATCAGTCTGTAAAAATGTTCTTATTGACTGTGCGGCTGTATTTAATTTTTTAAATAAACAATGTTTTCTCTCTAGTGTTAATGCATATTATTTGAGTGATCTGTCAAAGTACCTTTAGAATACATTTTGTTTAAGGGTGCGTACAGACTATGTAACATATTATATAACTTGTGTTTTACAACACGTCCACATTATGTAACCTTGTTATTTAACATTATAACATAAAACAATACTGTACACATTAGAATAACAATGCAATATAACAATGTTATATATTTATTTATTATTTATTAACACTTCGTTGCATATACATTAATATAGTACAATTGACATAATTAAATAAAAAGGAGAGCAACTGGCGGCCTTATCGCTTTCGAGCGATCTCTTCCAGGCAACCACTGTGAGAAAAGAAAAGTATTAAATTACAAAAAAGTGCAAAAATAGGTACTGTATTAAATATGTTGTTCAGAAAAAGAAACTAAACAGAAACAAAGAACAAACTAAACTAATAAAGGATACCATTGTCGTTTGTCGTTCTCCAGTGCTAGTATAACATGTTATATAACATTCAGTGTCCACATTATCTGAAACATGTTGTATAGCAATGTTGTATAACATGTTATATTATATAGTCTGTACGCACCATAACAGGTGTGGTACCTAAGTGGTTAATATTATTTGGATAAAATATTTTATATGCTTGCCAGATGATAGTTTGTTCAAGTCTAAAATGTTATAACAGTCTTAAAAACTGACATCCACGATTTACTAACTTATTTCTGGAAACATAAATAACTTAGGCTATCTAGTGTGAGTCATTAAATTGGCCTTCAAACATATTTAAAGACTGAATCGCTGCCATATTTAGAAAAAAGAATTTTTTCTCATTTATGTAATGGTTTCCAGTCTTGCTAAAAGGTATATATTGTTCGGAGACTTATTATTTATGAAGTGTATGCCCATACAGTACAGATAAATGATTAAACAATGCATATATATATTATTATTAGGACTATCACCACGAAATACATAAAAACTTCAGACCAACTTTTTTGAAATATTAGTCATATTTTGAAATATCAATAAAATAGGCCAAATTACATTAGAGGTTTTTATTTATAAAATGTGGGGTCGAAAAGCTACTAAATATAATGTTGATTGCAATACACATATTGCATATAGTTTTGTTAAGGCTATAAAAAAACATTGAATGAAAATATTTGCTTCCAAATAAAGCTTTGGAAAACACTTTAAACTTTATATTTTCAGACTTTAGTACACCTTAGCTGTGTAAAGTTCAACTTTTTATGTGTTTGATAGTGAATAATAAAAAAGTTTGTTTTATTACTTATTTTAACTTTCACACCACGGAGTATAGAGATTAGCTTTCTTGTTTTCTTAGGTATCATGGATTTATTAATAACTGAAATTTTTACACCTTTTAATTTTTTTTTATCGACAGTCATTAAAACTTTAAAATAAGCGACAAAATCCAAAGGTATACGTAAGTATGTATTTGTATTTCAAATGTTAATATGAAATTCAGGACATTAAACATTATTATGACCAGTTGTCGGTAAAATTGCTACATTGTTATCATTCGTTATTTTATTATTCATGACAAAAAGCAAGCATTTTCGAATAAAATCGGGTTTCTGATTAAAATGACTATGTAGAGCAAAACGAAATAATAGCCTTGTTTTTTATTTACCAATGGAATTATTTTGAAATGGTAGCGATCAATAATTAGTTTTTGATGTGTTGTTTACTTTTATGACGATTTTGTTTCTTTTGGAAATGGATCTTCTATTTTTTTCGGGTTGAAAATACTTATTCGTTTATAAAAAGCGTAAAATTGATAAGGAATATATTTATTATGCGTCTTAGCGCATGCTTATGAATGTCACAAAATTCGCGAAAGAGCAAGACTACGCCATCCGTTCGCAAAAATACCAGGAGCTCTTGTTCTGAGTTTTACCCTCCCTCTACATTACAATTATTCCAAGGAAAATGTCATAAACCAAACGTCATTAAACTTATATAAGTAAAAATAAATAAAAATATGTTCTGTGATATACAACATTCACCATTACACACATATTCACGACACATCAAAGATAACAAAACAAATTATAACAATATAACTAGAACTATTGCCACACGTTTTCGTCTTCTAGGTAGTCATTAACTATGTAGTAACCTTAACACATTAATGTACTTTTAATATGTGTTTTGAATCTGTTTAAAGGCAGTTCTAATATTTCACTAGGAATCATGTAGTATTGTCTTTTATTGACATAACCTTTACACATTTATAGAAAAAACTTTTTAACCGTTAATAATTGTAAATTTTATTAAATACATAACTTTAATCCGGTTAAAAAGTTTTTTCTTTAAATAGGAATCATGTTATAGCAGCGGATTAGACCCATAAATGAAGTATTTATTTTTTTCTAAAGATTTCCTTTATTTCTTGTATTCCTATTGTGAATGTCACTGTTCTTTAAAAGAGAACTAATACTACGCACAAAAACGATACAGTTGCAGATGTACTGGGAAGGTACCGTCAAAATATCGATTTTCTTGAACAAATTTATAAGTGAAGTGCCTGGTTTCAAGCAATAAATTGACCTAATAGCACGTTTTTGTAAGATATTAGTATTTTATATGTTACAACCAGATAGAAATATTTTTTAGAACAAACAAGATTTAGGATCCTTTAGCTAAGCTTGGAGATGTGTCATGGTTTAACATAAATAAGTACAACTGGGATTTCAGTAACGCATTAATGTTTTTCCCCTGTAATAATAAGAAGTGGAAATTTATGTAGATGTGGCAGATCGTACCTTGTTTCATTCAACCCTTTGGGATTTGTATTCGAAGTCTTTTTCGACATATCCTGGGTATTATATGCAAATATCTGAAAGAGCTGGTTCTGTCGAATTTTATAAATGACAACAATATTAAAAACCTTGGCAGTAAGAAGTTGTAATAACGTCTAATGCATTGCATTCTTTATCTTTACACTACCTAAAAGAGTTTTTAGTAAGCATTTTAATTCTAATATACATATAATTTGAATTTCGATAGTCAGGTAGAATAACAGAAGTTTCCGTTTTTCGCTGGAAGATATTTTTCGATTTATGCAATTCTGATCTCATAAACCATTACAATAAAGAGTTTTAACTGTGGTTTCGTTTGCCAAAACTGGTATTGATAGAGACCGGGTTTCTGTACAGCTTGGCTCGCCGGTGCCATAAATACACAAAAACTTTCCTGCCAAACTTCCGTTGCATTTGTTTATGAATATGACTTCCGTCCAGGGAGCGGTCATCCGGAGGGCTTATGGCAAGTATTAGCGAGATACAACTTTTAATAACGAGTTTAATGATTTTAAGATGAGGTTGGAAATGTTTTTGGTGTGTTTAGACTGTAATTTTGTCACTAACATATTTTCAGAAAAACATTCCCAGCAAAAACATTCACTTTTATTTAAGTGTTTTTAGGGGTTGTTTTTAATATCTAGCTGTTTTCCATGTCACTGAAATAACAGACAGGGGTATTGTGTGTAAAGTAATGTCGGAATAATAAATTATCCATAAAACACGAATATATGTAAAATATAAACTTTTTACGCATAAATTAATTAAAGTGACATTTCGTGGAATAAAGAAGTACCGAACTCTCGCATGGCTGGTCAAGAAACAAATTTACAACAAGAAAGCATATTTCCCTAGGGAACTTTTATAAAGTTAACAAGGTGTAACTTGGGAAATATATTTTCAAAAGGGCGGCAATTGATATTAAAATTAGGCCCTAAAGTTAATTTACAACTTTTTGCATCTATGGCTACACCGGCCTTTTAAACCGTGAAATAGTGACTTGTTCGTAACATTGTTCTAATTACACGCCAGTCGCCACATATATATAGCCGTACATACCTATTATTTTGGCCCGATTACTTTCGTGTTATTGCAAATAAATAATCGTGACAAAACATTACCTACTTATAATTTATACCGCACTTCTAGGCCAGAGAAAACGTAATTTTTTAGTATACCTAAAAAAAACGCGATTCATAGCTGGCCTATTGATAGATTTCTATTCGACATCTGAAGTTGTTAAATTGCTTTGTCTTAAAAAAGTACAAACAATTAACAAACTACTCACAACCTAAGGCAATCCTTTAACATGGAGGCATTTCGTGGGCGCCATTTAACCGTCTCATTAACTATGTCAGCGTCGAACTAATCACTACGGGTTTATGTTCCTTCTATTTGAGAATAATGAGGGCTCTAACGATCTACATTCGTTTTGTTGTTAATGTTTAAATGAGAGCTTTGTAGTTCTGTTGGCCAGTTAACTCCCCCGTTATACATTAATGCCCTTTCATTAGCAGATTATCCCCGCTTATATTAAAATTTGCAACTTTAATGCCTCACTGTTATTATTACAAACTTAATATTATGACATAAAATATATCTCATTTGGTATTGTTGTATTACCAATGGTAAATAACAAGAGAATTTTTGATGCAATATTATTATAGAGAGAGAGAGAGGTCTTAGGTAATAAATATATTATGTAGGCCGTAGGTATATGTCAAATTTTACTTCATCATTAGTTGCGATTGAGAAGGATTTGTTATTATAAGCACAATTATCTGTTGTTAAGATCTAGATGACGTGTACATTAAAATATTTACTTACAATTGGGAAAAAGGATTTTAAAAACCAGTCTAAAATCTATTGGTAATAAAAGATAGTCTAATACATGCTATTTTTAAACTTGAAAAAGGTATAATGATCTGCTGCTCGTCAGCAAATCTGGTAAATCATTCTTAGCAAATAGCAGGATTGGCGTAGTAGGTTCCATGCCCAGTCCCCCGTCCGAACCTACACGATGTGTTGTTGAAAACTGAAAAAAGGCACTTAAAGTCTAAACTGTTCTCAAGTAGTATTCAAAACATCGT